CATCCCTGTGGTGGAAGGCATTGATTGCTGCCAAGTGCACTCGTAGAGATGCAAGAGCCAGGCCATTGTCATGTAGCTGCAAGAGGTATTCCAATATACAAGGTAGGGTTGCAAAATGCGAGTCTACATTGTTGTCCGTACACCATGCTTGGAACTTTGACATAAGCGGTTTGTGTGCATTGTTTTCGACTATGCATCAACACTTGCTTGACTCGCTAAGAACAGGATTGTTCGGAGTCGGTGAACCAGCAAGCATCCATGCAGTGAGGTGCAGAACTTCGGGTCTCGGATGACTGAGAGATCCATTGTCCTGGGTCAACAGATTCGGAAGAGAAGGCAGAGGATACGGCGCTCTCACTGACATCTGGTGGAGAGAACCAAGGCTGACGAGCCCATGCCGGTGCTAGGAGGATTACCCGGGCCTCGTCTATGTTGATCTTTTCCAGAACCCTGGGAATTAATACTACCGGGGGAAAGGCGTATAGTAACGATGTCCCCCAGTGGAGAAGAAAGGCATCCCCCAGCGAGTGGCATCCTATTCCGGCTCTTGAACAATAAGTGGGACATTTCGAATTAAGTTCTGTCGCGAATAAATCTATTATCGGAAATCCCCATCGAGCGAAGACACGAGTCAGCACGTCCGTGTGAACCTCCCACTCGTGGTCGTGTGGAACATGCCTGCTGAGAGAGTCCACTATTAAGTTGTCGATGCCTGGAAGATAGGATGCTGTGAGAACGGTGTTGTTGGCGATACACCAATTCCATAAACGAGTACTATCTGCGCAAAGAGAATGGGATTGGGCACCCCCTTGTTTGTTGATATAAAACATAGTCGCTATGTTGTCCGTTAGAATCCTGGTCGTTGTATTCTGAATGTGCAACTGGAAATGTTTGCAAGCATGCCGTACCGCTCTCAACTCGAGCACATTGATATGTAGTAGCATTTCTTGTGTCGACCAACGTCCCTGTACCGTGAGATTGCCCATGTGAGCTCCCCACCCCGTAAGGGAGGCATCTGTAGTAATTTGTGTTGTGGGTTGTGGACGATGAAATGGAACGCCCGTGAGAAGATTGGCCGGGTTGACCCACCACTGTAGGGAATCCCGGACATACTGTGGCACCACTACCGGCCTGTGGACAGTGTGCTTTGACGGAATGTAAACTGTGGCCAACCAATGCTGGAGGCAACGAAAACGTAACCTTGCGTTGCGCACTACAATGGTGGCGGCAGCCATGTGTCCCAACAGCTGTAGACAGACTCGTGTGGGAATTGTTGGAGCATGTACCACGGTGTGTACCAATTCTTTGATTACCGTAAAACGTTCCATTGGTAAATATGCTTGTGCCACAGTTTAATCGAGTCGTGCACCTATGAACATGAGGTTTTGGGATGGAACTAATGATGACTTCTTTGAGTTTATGAGGAGGCCCAGAGCCGCAAATTCGTCGGATACTGTCCGAACCATATGACATGTTTCCATATACGTCGTACCTCTGAGGAGACAATCATCTAAGTAAGGAAATATTGTCACCCCCAGTCTGCGTAGATGGGCCGCGACCACTGCTAGTGTTTGGTGAAAACTCTGGGAGCACATGCTAGACCAAATGGTAGAACCCTGTACTGATAATGCTTGCTCCCTAATTGGAAACGAAGAAAACACCTGTGCACCACATGGATCTCTACGTGGAAATAGGCATCCTGCAAGTCGAGGACTGCAAACCAATCCTTTTTGTTCAACGACGGAATAATGGTTGATAAGGTTACCATCTTGAAATGGTGCTTTCGAAGGTGCCGGTTTAGCTTTCGAAGGTCTAGAATGGGTCTCCAACCTCCCGACTACTTTGGTGTGAGAAAATATCGGGAATAAAACCCTTTTCCCCAGAACTGTTTGGGAACTCTCTCTATCACTTTGATGGCGAGCAAACGTTGAACTTCCTGCTTCAACAGTTTCTCATGAGAGGGGTCCCTGAAGAGGGATGGAGTAGGGGAAGTGCTAGGGGGAATAGAGAGAAAAGGGATGGAGAGGCCGGACTGAACTACTTCTAGCACCCATTTGTCCGTGGTGATTGCAGACCACTGGTGATAAAATGAGCGTAGACGATGGTGAAAAAGATGATGAGTTTCCGTGTTGATTAAGGGCAGTTGGCTTGCATCCTCGACAATCAAGTCAAATCTGCTGCTTAGTCGACGACTGATTAGCCGAACGGCTCTGTTGTGGCCGCTTGCGCTGAGGGCGCCGTCTAGGATGCTGGTTGTCGAAGGGACGTGTTTGCTGTCTAGAAAAATTGAAATTGTATCTCCATTGGTAAGGGAAATAATGTCTCTGTTTGAAGGAAGGTGTGTACATCCCCAGCGTACGTAGAGAGGTGCGTGAATCTTTCCCCGAATGGAGGACCTCATCAGTGTTTGCCACAAAGAGTTTAAGTTTGTCAAATGGTAGATCCTCAACCTTGCTTTGCAACTCCCTTGGAGCCCCTGCTGACGAAAGCCAAGATGATCTCCTTATGGCGATACCTGTAGCAGCGGCTCGAGCTGCTGTGTCAGCCACATCCATGGCAATCTGTAGTGCAGTACTACATGATGCGTACCCTTCTTGTACTATTGCTTTCAGGAGTGGATTCTTGCTGTCTGGAAGATGGTGCAGCAACTCTGTTAATTTTGAATAATTATCGAAATTATGATTTGACAGATGGGCTGAGTAGTTTGCAATTCGTAGTAACAGCGTGGCTGAGGAGTAGACTTTCCTACCAAAAACATCTAATTTTTTATTGTCCTTGTCCGGAAGGGTATTTCTGTACTGTGGCGCCTTACTCCTACGTTACGCTGCGTCTACTACCAATGAGTTAGGTTGGGGGTGATTGAATAAAAAGTCCAATCCTTTCGCCGGAACAAAATATTTTCTGTCAGCCTTTTACTCGTAGGGGTAACCGATGTTGGGGTTTGCCATATCTCATCTGCCACTTCCATTATCGCGTCATCAATTGGTAACGCGATCTTTGCACGTTGTTGTGGATGGAGGTTTTTCAAGAGGCGGTGTCTTTTAACCGGAACATCTGCCAGCTGTATTTCCTGCGTGCCTGCCACTTGTTTGAAGAGATCCTGAAAGTGTTTCAGATCATCCGGTGGGGAGATGTCAGCTGGGTATATCACCTCATCCAGGGAAGACAAGGAGCAGGCTGCTGGAGAAGTTTCAGGTTTAGGGTCTTCTGCTTCAGACAACTGCCCCTCTTCCGGTTCGGATTGGTCTAGTTGGATCGTTGGACTCTTAGCCGGAGAAGGAGAGTGTAGTGGCTGTGATCGGTGAGGTAAGTATTCCGCTGTTGGTGGTTGGCAGATGCAGGAAGATCCCCTGTGTGATGATGTAGTATAGTCATGCTGGTGACGATCGTAATATGATCCATGATAGCGCTCATAATAGCGCTCGGACTGCGACGGGGAGGAGTGCCGAGAGGAGCGTGCACTACCATGATGGATATAATAGACGCGACATGGAGAGCGTCTAACAGACCCGTACCTCGAAATCCGGGAAGGTGAACGGGATCATGAACGGGACCGATGTGTGTCTAAGTACACTGCGTCCCTATAGTTATGCCGGCTGTGCATGTTCCATGAAGGAGACACATAACTACGATAGCGATCATGTCTTCCTGGTGAAACAGCTGGAGAAAGGGACCTGTCCCTATAATGGGTCTTGGACAATGACTTTCTAGGTCTAGAAGTCCCATCCATCCCCAGAGGCACGGGGGAGCCAGGCACCGAATGAAAGTGAAGCAGTGCCGGAGGAGTCAGCTGTTGTTGGAGTGATGTTGGTGCCGGTATGACGCCCGGTGCCGAGGTTAACGACGGTGCTGAGTCTGAGGCATTAACATGTTCCGCCTCAGATACCGGTGCTGGAAGGGACGGTGCCAATGCCATCGTCGGGGCAGGCAGAATAGGTGCCGCTGCATTAGGTGCCGCTGAAGCCAGTGCCGAGAGGCTGGTCAATTGCGGCACCGGCGCGTCTATCAGTTTCAGGGAGCGCGCCGCTGAAGCCGGTGCAGACTTGCTGGCCGGCTGCGGCGCCCCTCCCCGAG